TCCAGTGCCGCCCAGAGAGGGTGCATGAGCAGCTCAGCAAGAGGGTGTGAAAATTTGGGATCTGGGAGACGAGAAGCCGTCCAGGTCTGGCGTCCCAGCAAGGGTCTTCGTTTGCAGAGGTACAGGGAGGGTATGGGGCTCCCTCCCATCCCTTGCACCCACTGACCCGCCTCCTTTCTCTTCCTCCCCTCGCAGACCGTGCACTGCTGCAGGGCGCCCCGGATGCGGTGGAGCTGCGCGAGCTGACACCCTGGGCTGGGCGACCCCCAGGTCCGCGCCGTCGGGCGGGGCCCCGGCGGCGGCGCGCGCGTGCGCGCTCTGGGGCGCGGCCGTGCGGGCTGCGCGAGCTGGAGGTGCGCGTGAGCGAGCTGGGCCTGGGCTACGCGTCCGACGAGACGGTGCTGTTCCGCTACTGCGCAGGCGCCTGCGAGGCCGCCGCGCGCGTCTACGACCTCGGGCTGCGACGCCTGCGCCAGCGGCGGCGCCTGCGGCGGGAGCGGGTGCGCGCGCAGCCCTGCTGCCGCCCGACGGCCTACGAGGACGAGGTGTCCTTCCTGGACGCGCACAGCCGCTACCACACGGTGCACGAGCTGTCGGCGCGCGAGTGCGCCTGCGTGTGACCCTACCTCACCCGGCCGGCGCGGCGGCCATTCTCCCCGCCCCGACGGCACCACCGGCCGGCCCCGCGACAGACTGCGCGTGCGTAGAGCACGCCGGCGCGGCCCCGGGACTCTCGCGATAACTGTACTGAGATAAAGTGTGGGAACTCGAACTGGCTCGTGATTCACCCTCGGCTAGGGGCTCGCGGGTGGCTCGCGTCGCTGTCTCCGCCGGGAAAGCGGGGACCAGTGGGGGGCCCAGCTGCAGGGTGGTGGGAAGATGCCGTTTGCTTTGGGGGAAGGGTAGATGCAAAGTGGCTCCAGTTTATGGCAGACAAAAAGGAAAAATGGGGTGAATGGGGCTAGGTTGGCAGGGACCGTCTTTCCTGCCTCCCTACGGGTCCCTCTGCCCGTCCCGAGCGTGTCCCGGTCCGTACCTCTTTCCTGTGTGGGTTTCTGGGGAGGGGGAAGGGGAGCTACGCTCCGGATGAAGAGACCGAGGTCTAGGTGGACCCAGTTTCCCCAGCTTGTTCCCTGCCGCACCTCCCTTCCCCAGCTTATTCCCTTCCGCAGTGTGGGCTTCTGGGATGAAGAGTCTGAGGTCTAGGTGGACCCAGTTTCCCCAGCTTGTCCCCGACTGCACCTCTCTGCTGTGTGGACTTCTGGAGAGGGGGAAAGGGAACCACACTGCGGGTGAGGAGCCTGAGGTCCAGGTGGAATCAGTTCCCCAGAGTCTCCCCGTCCGCACTTCTCCCGCTATGTGCGCTTCTAGGGAGGGGGAAGGGGGAGCCACTCTGGGTGAGGAGACTGAGGTCCAGGTGGACCCAGACCTCCCTTACCCGACGGCCTCCTCGGGCCGGTCTTTCCCCACCAGGGTGAGCTGAAAGCCACTATCTCCTTCCCTCCAGCTACTAAAAATACCCGCACGCTGCCCACCTCCCGGCGGGGAGAGGCCTGGGGCGGGCGCCAGCCCCATCCAGCCCGAAGCCGGCGCCTGCTGGGGTAGAGCTGGGTCCCCAGAGACCTGGGTCCTCGGCCCATAAAAGCCCTGGCCGGGCCTCGAGGGGGGATTTACGACAAGCCCCTGCGGAGGATGGAAAAAGCCCGGCTCGGTGTTTAGATTTGCCCACGGTGTCACCTTGATGCTTGGCAGGCCTGGGGTGTTGGGTTGCCAGAGCGCGGGAGGGGTCGGCGGGTCCCACGGTCGGTCTGAGGGGCGGGGAAGGGGCGGGCATTGCGAGCCCAGGGCAGGCACCGGCGAGGCGAGACTCCTCCCCTCCTGCCCCTCAGATTGGGGGTTCCCGAGGTTACAACCCTTCCCCTTAGCTGGGCCCCCTCCACTCCTTCCCATACGTCCGCCCTTAGGACCACCCTCTAACCACAGTGTCCCTTTGCAGGTTCAGCCCGCACCTCCCCGCGCCCCCCTCCCCGGCAAAGCTGGAGGGCACAGATCAGAAACTGCCCCCAGGGAGAATCACCCAGACATACAGGAACATCCCTGGCCCCAGGCTCCCGGGGACCTTCAGCTACAGCTAGAGACACTCAAGGAGGCTAATGAGCAGGACTTCCAGGGGGCCCTGAGAACAGGGCTTGGGGGCCAGGCCCAAGCCCGTGGGTGGTCTGCTTCGGAAGCAGTTTCAGGGCTGCCGCTGGCTGGGGTCCCCGCCCACCCCCGCAGTCTTCTGACTCTGAGGTTTGAGGTGGTGGATTCCTCCACCATTTGGGCCGACTCAGCCTGGCCTCCGCAGAGAGCCCGGAGTTTCCAGACGCTGCGGAAGCCCAAGTGACGCTTACTCTGAGCCTCAGTTTCCCCATCCTAGATGGCCTGGCCTCAGAGAGAGGAGTGTTGTTCAGCCCAGGACGCACAGTAAGAAAGCTGACCCTCAGGGGTCTGCCGCCCCGGAAGCTCACACATGCCACCGTGTGCATGTGTATGTGAGTGTTGTCCACCCTCCGGGGCCTCCCAGACCTCGGCCTTCCTGTCTGTCACCCAGATCCAGTGTCTCAGCCACAAGGCACCAGGCCCAGCCCCCCAGGGAATTGGAGCATAAATAAACGGAGAAGCCCCTGCAATTCCCTGGGGCCGCGGTTGTCATCAGCCCATCGGCACACCGGATGAGGGTCTCACACACACAAGCACACTCACGAGACACAGAGACCACCACCCACAAGGGGTCAGCAGGCAGGACCCATGATCCTACACAGTCACCATCCACACTCAGAACTGTACACTCAGGAAGGGACACTCCCTCTTTCTTTTTTTTTTCTTGAGACAGTCTCATTCTGTTGCCCAGGCTGGAGTGCAGTAGTGCGATCACGGCTCCCTGCAACCTCTGCCTCCCGGGTTCAAGCAATTTTTGTGCCTCAGCCACCTGAGTAGCTGGGATTGCAGGCACCGGCCATCACACCCAGCTAATTTGTTTGTTTGTTTTGTTTGAGAATAGTCTCACTCTGTCGCCCAGGCTGGAGTGCAGTGGCGCGATCTCGGCTCACTGCAACCTCCGACTCTCTGGTTCAAGGGATTCTCCTGCCTCAACTTCCCAAGTAGCTGGGATTACAGGCACGCACTACCATGCCCAGCTAATTTTTGTATTTTTAGTAGAGATGGGTTTCACTATGTTGGCCAGGATGGCCTCAATCTCCTGACCTTGTGATCCTCCTGCCTTGGCCTCCCAAAGTGCTGGGATTACAAGCCTGAGCCACTGTGCCCAGCCCGGCTAATATTATTATTATTATTATTATTATTTTCTATTTTTAGTAGGGACTCAGTTTCACCATGTTGGCCAGGCTAGTCTTGAACTCCTGACCTCAGGTGATTCTCCCACCTCAGCCTCCCAAAGTGCTGGGATTACAGCCATGAGCCACCGCGCCCAGCCTGAGAGGAACACTCTCAAAATCACTTCTCATTCACAAAAGCACACAGCATCACACCTATGGTCACAGACACACACTCAGGGTGCACACATAGCCCCAGTCACTCACAATCCATTCCATCACATCTGCTGACACACTTACACACATGCACAGCCCTGCAGCAGCCACATAGTGAGAGACCCACATAGACACAGCCCTGCACACTCAGAGAGGGGCCCCTGAACTGTCCCGGATGCAAAGGCTCACTCAAGGGCAAGACACGGTGGCTCACGCCTGTAATCTCAGCCCTTTGGGAGGCTGAGGCGGGATGATCACTTGAAGCCAGGAGTTCAAGACATAGTGAGAAACCACTGGACAACATAGCGAGACCCCATCTCTCCAAAAAAAAAAAAAAAAGAGCTGGGCGTAGTGGTGCATGCTTGTAGTCCCAGCTACTTGGGAAGCTGAAGTGGGAGGATCACTTGAGCCCAGGAGTTCAAGGCTGCAGTGAACCGTGATCATGACACTGCACTCCAACCTGTCTCTGAAACAATAAACAAATAAAAATAAAAAACACTCCCAGGACATTTACAGTCAGTCTCACGCTTGGAACAATCACCACACGAATACACACCCCTGTTATACGTAGTCTGCATGACATAAACACAGTCACACCTGCAGCCACACCCACAGTGATGCGTTCCTAGCAGCCATATGGTGGCAGTCACACTGAGTGTCGCCCCAGCCATGGGCATTTCCATGCTGAAGGTCACCCACACGCCCACCACCTTCTTTCTCAGGGAACCTCTGCTCTTCTCCGTCCTGTCCCTAATAACTCAGCTGACTTATCTGGCCCCACCTGGCACTGTGTCTGGGCAGGGAAGGTCCCCTTGTCCCAGCCAGGCCCTACTTTGACCCCCAGGCAGCTTGGGCCCCACTCCCCACCCACACTGGTCCTTCCTCACCCCACTCTGTCAGAGCCCACCCCCAGGAAGCAGCTGGAGATGTACCTCACAGAGCTCCGACACCTACTGCCAAGGCCATAGAAAGGTCTAGAACAGGGTTTTTCTATCTCTGGACACTTGGAACCAGATTGGTTGTGGTTGTGTTGTGGGAGCATCCTGTGCATCGTAGGGGGTTCGGAGTAACCCGGCCTCTGCCTGCTAGGTGACCTCATCCCCCTTCCTCACTTCGATAGCCAAAAGTATCTCCAGACCTTGCTGAATGTCCTGGGGGCAGAATCACCCTGGGGAGAGAACCACTATCCTAGAATGAGGAGAACGCATCATCAGCTTTCTTCCTTTCTTTCTTTCTTTTTTTTTTTTTTTTTTTGAGATAGAGTCTTGTTCTTGTCACCCAGGCTGGGGTGCAATGGCGTGATCTGGGCTCACAGCAACCTCCACCTCCTGGGTTCAAACAAGTCTCCTGCCTCAGCCTCCCAAGTACCTGGGATTACAGGCACCCGCCACCACGGCCGGCTAATTTTTTGTATGTTTAGCAGAGATGGGGTTTCACCGTGTTAGCGAGGCTGGTCTCAAACTCCTGACCTCATGTGATCCACCTGCCTTGGCTTCCCAAAGTGCTGGGAGTACAGGCATGAGCCACCACGCCCGGCCTCATCATCGGTTTTCTTTGCAATATTACATCTGGAAACGGTACCGTCATTGTCCCTCTGCAGGCCTCACAGGCAGCTAACAACATCACAAACAAATCAGCCAGAACCATCACTCATGGGTGGGGCCCCAAGGGCGCCAGTTCCCAGGGCCCAGTGCCCTCCAGGGTGAGGTCCCCAGGAGGCAAGGCTCCTAGCAGGTGAGATTCAGTGTGGCAAGGTCTCTGGGAGCAAGTCCCAGCAGGTAAAGTCCCCAACAGCCGAGGTCCCCAGTAGGCAAGGTCCCCAGGAGATGAGGTCCCCAGCAGGCCAGGCTTCTGCAGGGGACGCTCCTGGAAGCCAGCATGTGAAATCCCAGGTAAGTGACATGCCTGGCCACCGAACACTCCAGCAGGTGACGTCCCAGGAAAGTGAGGACCTAGGTAGGTGAATCCCTAGGCAGGTGAAGCTGCAATATGTGACCGTCCCAGGCAGCTGAGTCCCCAGGCAGGTGAAGCTTCATGCAAGCGAGTCCTTAGGTAGATGAGCCCCACTCAGGTGAGGCCCGAGGAAAATGAGGTTCCCAGCAGCCCAGGCCCCACACCGGCCTCTCAGGTGAACCAAGTTGCTATGCTGCGCACCGTCTGGTACCTGGATTCCTCCTGCAGTTTCCAGCAGGCCTTGCAGAAATCCAGTGCCCAGCTGGAGAAGCGAGGCCGCAGCGTCTCCCGCCAGCGGAAGTAGCTCAGGTAGCGGGCGTGGTCCTTGTCCAGCTCCTGCAGGTATCGGGCCAGGTCCTTGGGGCTCTGGAAGTCGTCCACGTGGATGAAGGCGTCGGGCGGCAGGAACCTCTCGTAGTTGCTTCTGCTGGGCCCCAGCACCACGGGCACGGCCCAGGCCTCCAGGGCGTTTCTCCACAGCTTCTCGGTGATGTAGTCCGGGTGCAAGGAGTTCTCGAAGGCCAGGTAGAACTTGTACCGGGACAGCGTCTCCATCATGGTCCCCCTGGGCAGGGGCTTGTGGGATTTCCCGTACACATCCACCTTGAGATGGGCCTGCAGGCTCTGGTAGTAGCGCACCCTGGCCGAGTCCGGCTTCCAGTTGGACACCGTCCAGGCCACCAATTCGGTCTTGGCCGAGAGGTTGAGCGGTGGGTGGGCAGGCTGGCCGGACCACGGCTCCAGCCAGCCGTAGGGCGTGAAGATGTCGGAGTCGCTGCGGTAGGACATGGTGAGATTGAAGTATCCGTCCAGGGCTTGCAGGTGCCAGCAGTGGCTTGGAGACTCCATGCTGAACCAGATCCAGCGCTGCCCCTGCGGCCTGGTGTGGGGCGGGAGGTCGGCACCGGGATTGTACATGATATCCCGGTGGTGCACGATGACCGCGTCTGCCTGTGGGTACACCTTGCGGTCGGCAGTGATTTGGCAGTCGGCCATGCCAGGCACCATCTCTGAACAGCGGGACAGAGCCACGGGGATGTGGAAAGGCCACGTCCACAGCAGGATCAGGAGGGTGGGGCGGGTGGGAGTGTGTCCTGTCGGGAGGACCCACTGGGAGCCCGGGTGACAGGTTCCACGGCCATGAACCCTGGCCTAGGGAACCCAGTGGCATCGTCTCGGGACACACGCAGGTAGGAGAAGAAACACACAGCCACCAGCAACTGAAACAGCAGCGCGGCCAGACAGCGGCGCCACGGCCATTGTGGCTTGGCTGGGCCCAGGGGGTCCATGGGTCAGAGTAGCTGGGAAGAGAGGAGAGAGGAGTGTGAGGGTCATTGATGACAATCACCTGCTTACCAAAGCTCCCGGCCATGAGTCCTGAGAGGAGCTGCTATTTTTCCTGTTTCACAGATGAGAAAACCAAGACCAAGTGACTCACAGCAAAAATCAGCACAGCTGGTGTTTGAACAAAGGGAGCTTGGCCCAGAGTCCACCTCCTCCCACCCATTAGACAACAGGCCCTCTCTGTATGCGCAAGGGTCCCTGGGGAAGGCGGGAGAGGCCCCAAGGGCCCTCAGGTCCCATCTTGATCCTATCCTTTCCTGGTGTGTCCCCAGACTGTTCCCCAATCTGGAGAAGACACGGCCGATCATAAATGCCCCCAGGTGCCCCAGAGTCGAGGCTTGAACCCATGACTCTACTGGGGCAGGGCACAATGGGATTGGGTTTTGGAGGTAATATAAGAGCTCACCAGGTAGAGTAGACCTGTGGGAAAGGGTGCTTCTGGCAGAGGAAACCACCATTGCCAAGGCCTACTGGGGAGAGACCCCTGAGCAGTTTGCAGAGAAAGCAAAGGAAGTACTCATGGCTGCCAGTTTCAAGTTCATATGAGGTTGGTGCAAAAGTAATTGCTGTTTTTACCATTGAAAGTAATGGCAGCCAGGCGCGGTGGCTCGTGCCTGTAATCGTAGCACTTTGGGAGGCCGAGGCGGGCAGATCATGAGGTCACGAGTTCAAGACCTGCCTGGCCAACATGATGAAACCCTATCTCTACTAAAAATACAAAAATCAGCCAGGTGCAGCGGTGCGCACCTGTATTCCCAGCTACTGGGGAGGCTGAGGCAGGAGAATCACTTGAACCTGGGAGATGGAGGTTGCAGGGAGCCAAGTTCGCACCACCACACTCCAGCCTGGGAGTCAGAACGAGACTCTGTCTCAGAAAAAAAAAAGAAATATTCACTTGGGTTACATTCAACAAGCACTCAGGACCGGGTGCGTTGGCTCACGCCTGTATTCCCAGCACTTTGGAAGGCAGAGGAGGGTGGATAACTTGAGGTCAAGAGTTCAAGACCAAGGCCAGGTGCGGTGGCTCATTCCTGTAATCCCGGCACTTTGGGAGGCAGAGGCGGGCGGATCACGAGGTCAGGAGATCAAGACCATCCTGGCCAACATGGTGAAACCCTGTCTCTACTAAAGATACAAAAATTAGCTGGGCATGGTGGCGCGTGCCTGTAATCCCAGCTAATCGGGAAACTGAGGCAGGAGAATCGCTTGAACCGGGACCCGGGAGGCAGAGGGTGCCGTGAGCCGAGATCACACCACTGCACTCCAGCCTGAGCTACAGAGCGAGACTCCATCTCAACAAAAAAAAAAAAAAAGAAAAAAAAGAGTTCGAGACCAGTCTGGCCAACTTGGAGAAACCACATGTCTACTAAAAATACAAAAATTAACTGGCCACGGTGGCACATGTCTGTAGTCCTAGCTATTCGGGAGGCAGAGAGGTGAGCATCACTTGAACCCGGGAAGCAGAGGTTGCAGGGAGCCAAGATTACACTGCTGCACTCCAACCTGGGTGACAGAGCAAGACCCTGTCTCAAAAAGAAAAAAAAAAAGAGAGAATAGAAATATTCACTAGGAGTTTCTTTCAAAAAGCACTCAAAGGCTACCCTTCTGGTAGGCTGAGGCTGGGGGAGAGGCGGGGATAGATGGGAGGGAGAATAGGCAGGCATGGGGACTCAGGGGCTGACCAGGAGGGCAATGTGGCCACCCCTAGACATGGGGACTCCCCAGGAGAGAAGTGGGCTTCGGTGGAACATGCTGAGCCTGGCCCTTCTTGGAGATACCCAGCAGGGGCTGGCCCCAGGGGGCTGGAGGGAGCCAGGGGGAGAGCCCCCGGAGTGTGGGCACTGGGTCTGGGAAGCCCGAGATAGAGAAACCTTCAGGCCGGGCATGGTGGCTCACGCCTGTAATCCCAGCACTTTGGGAGGTTGAGGCGGGCGGACCACTTGAAGTCAGGAGTTTGAGACCAGCCTGACCAACATAGTGAAACCCTGTCTCTACTAAAAATACAAAAATTAGCCGGGTGTGGTGGTGTGTGTGCCTGTATTCTCAGCTACCTGGGGAGGCTGGGCCGTGAGAATCGCTCGAACTCAGGAGGCGGAGGTAGTGAGCCGCCTGGATCGTGCCACTGCACTCCAGCAGCCTGGGCAGCAGAGCAAGACACTGTCTCAAAAAACAAACAAACAAACAAAAACGGGCGGGGGGGGGACCTTCAGACGGTGCTGTGGAGGAGGTGGCGGGAAACCGGGGCCACCTTTTTTCATGGATGGGGTGAGACTCAGAGGCTGGGAGGGACCCTTGGACAATGAAAAGGACCTGCGGCCACTCTCTCGACACTGCAGCGTCTGACACCTTCTGGGAGATGCTAGAGGGACTCGGGGATCTAGAGACGGGCCTTTCTTCTAAAAGGAGGATGCACTGGCTCCTGTCTGGATGCCCGTGACACTGCAGAGCCAGAGGTACAAGGGGACTGTGTCTGTGAACCTCAATGGAGCCCGGCCACTGAACCTCAGCTTTGATGTTCTCAAGGTCTGGCCAATCTCACTCCATTCCTAGGTCCTTCCCGCCCCCATAGGGTGTCATAGAGTCCTCCAGATCCCAGATCCTGGCCTCGTTCTGTTCCTTGCAGCCCTAGAGCTGTCCATTCTACAGATGAGGAAACTAAGGCTCAGAGAGACACCTATGTGTCCTGTTGAGTACACACAACTAGAGCCATTTTGATCCAGACCCCAAAGTTTCCCTGCCTTAATGTCACCCCAAACTCCTCTAGGACTTTGCAGATGGAGCTCACATCTCCAGATTAACCTTGTCCCACAAAACCTTCTGTGGTGATGGGCCGGGCTTGGTGACTCACACCTGTAATCCCAGTACTTTGGGAGGCTGAGGTGGACGGATCACCTGAGGTCAGGAGTTCAAAACCAGCCTGGCCAACATGTCTCTACTAAAAATACAAAAATTAGCCGGGCGTGGTGGCGGGAGCCTGTAATACCAGCTATTCGGGAGGCTGAGACAGGAGAATTGCTTAAACTCAGGAGGCAGAGGTTGCAGTGAGCCGAGATTGTACCATTACACTCCAGTCTGAGTGACGAGAGTGAAACTCCGTCTCAACAACAAAAAAAGCAACTTTCTGTGATGACAGAAATGTTCTCTGTGCGCAGCATCAAAATTGGCGGCCAATGAGCCCTTCAAAAGTGACCATGGTGTTGGAGAAACAGAATGGTTAATGCTAATTTTTTTTGTTTTTTGTTTTTTCCATACGGAGCCTTGCTCTGTCGCCCAGACTGGAGTGCAGTGATGTGATCTTGGCTGACTGCAACTTCTGCCTCCTGCGATCAAGTGATTCTCGTGCCTCAGCCTGTCGAGTAGCTGGGACTACAGGTGTGCACCATCACGGCCGGCTAGTTTTTGTATTTTTAGTAGAGACGGAGTTTCACTATGTTGGCCAGGCTGGTCTTGAACTCCTGACCTCAGGTGATCCACCTGCCTCGCCTCAGCCTCCCAAAGTGCTGGGATTACAGGTGTGAGCCGCTGTGCCCGGTCTGGTTACTGTTAATTTTCTTTTCTTTTTTTCTTTTTTTTTTTATTTTTTATTTTGAGACGGAGTCTCGTTCTGTCCCCCTGGCTGGAGTACAGTGGCGCGATCTTGGCTCACTGCAAGCTCCACCTCCTGGGTTCATGCCACTCTCCTGCCTCAGCCTCCCAAATAGCTGGGACTACAGGCGACAGCCACCGCGCCTGGCTAATTTTTTGTATTTTTAGTAGAGACGGGGTTTCACCGTGGTCTCGATCTCCTGACCTTGTGATCCGCCCGCCTCAGCCTCCCAAAGTGCTGGGATTACAGCCATGAGCCACCTCGCCCGGCCAATTTTCTTTTCTTTTTTTTTTTGAGACGGAGTTTTGCTCTTGTTGCCCAGGCTGCAGCGCAATGGCGTGATCTTGGCTCAGCGCAACCTCTGCCTCCTGGGTTTATGCAATTCTCCTGCCTCAGCCTCCTGAGTAGCTGGGATTACAGGCACCCGCCACCACACCAGGTTAATTTTTGTATTTTTTTTTTTTTTTGAGACGGAGTCTGGCTCTGTCACCCAGGCTGGAGTGCAGTGGCGCGATCTCGGCTCACTGCAAGCTCCGCCTCCCGGGTTTACGCCATTCTCCTGCCTCAGCCTCCCGAGTAGCTGGGACTACAGGTGCCCGCCACCTCGCCCGGCTAGTTTTTTGTATTTTTTAGTAGAGACGGGGTTTCACCGTGTTAGCCAGGATGGTCTCGATCTCCTGACCTCGTGATCCGCCCGTCTCGGCCTCCCAAAGTGCTGGGATTACAGGCTTGAGCCACCGCGCCTGGCCAATTTTTGTATTTTTAATAGAGATGGGGGTTTCACCATGTTATCCAGCCTGGTCTTGAACTCCTGACCTCAGGTGATCTGCCTGCCTTGGCCTTCCAAAGTGCTGGGATTACAGGCGGGAGCCACCACGCCCAGCCCAATGCTAACTTAAACTTAAAAACAGATACCGCGAGACCATCCTGGCTAACATGGTGAAACCCTGTCTCTACTAAAAATACAAAAAATTAGCCAGGCATTGCGGCGGGCGCCTGTAGTCCCAGCTACCCGGGAGGTTGAGGCAGGAGAATGGCGTGAACCCTGGAGATGGAGTTTGCAGTGAGTGGAGATCACGCCACTGCACTCCAGCCTGGGCAACAGATGAAGACTCCATCTCATAACAGAAACAAAAACAAACAAACAAACAAACAAAAAACAGATACTGCAATGGGCCATGATTGCACCACTGCACTCCAGCCTGGACAGCAGAGTTCAAAAACAAGAAAACAAAACAAAACAGGCTGGGCGCAGTGGCTCATGCCTGTAATCCATCCCAGCACTTTGGGAGGCTGAGGCAGGTGGATCACTTGAGATCAGGAGTTTGAGACCATCCTGGCCAACATGGTGAAACCCCATCTCTACTAAAAATTCAAAATTAGCTGGGCGTGGTGGCATGCGCCTGTAATCCCAGCTACTCGGGGGGCTGAGGCAGGAGAACTGCTTGAACCTGGGAGGTGGAGGTTGTGGTGAGCCGAGATCGAGTCACTGCACTCCAGCCTGGGCAACTGAGCCAGACTCCATCTCAAAAAAAAAAAAAAAAAAAAGAATAACAA